TATATTCAAACCATGAGAAATGTCGTCAAATAATGTCTGATGACAGTTACCAACGTCCCAATAGTGTCCATATATTTTAGAAATCTATAACAATAAAGCACAACCTCACTACTTTTTTTGATAAATGACAAAGGATTAATCAACCATATTAAAAGGTTTTCAGGCTTGAAGGACGAAGCTCATTAAAATCTATTGCCAGCTCCCTTTTAGAGACTGATAAAAGGTTAGAAAATGTGGGTCATAAATGCATGAAAGTTTTTATTGTTGTTCATACCCGTTAGGCCACCCGCCTCTACATGTATTTGAGATATAACCGTTAGAACCACAGCCACCCCCTCTATGTCTTAAAGTAGATATAACCGTTAGAACACACCACACCACTTTTCTGCCCATTTATTCAATTGGGCTAAATCATAGTTGAGAGTTGCTTCTATGGATTTTACATATTTTCCCGCAACACCGATTGATGTGTCATCGGCCAACATTATTGTGATATTTTTTTGTAAATTTCCAGGTAAATCATTGATATATACAAGGAACACAAATTAACCAGGGCAGATCCTTGAGGAACCCCTGTAGTAACATTTAGTTTTTCATAATGTTCCATTAACAGAGACACACTGTCGTCTATCAGGGCCCGGTTGTTCAAAACTCGGTCTTCTTTTAACCAGCCGTTAAGTATATTTAACCAACTGTTACCTATTAACAGAGGGTTATCTTGTTGTTCAAAACTCTGTTAACTTTTAACAGGCTGTTAACGTGACGTTACGTTAACACACCTAAGGACCGCCGCTAACTTTTTAACAGTGTGGTTAACTCGCAAATGGCGTTCATGGCTAACACTGCTTTCCTGATGCCAGTTCAGCAAAGAAAGGATAGGGTGTATCGTGGACTGGACTTCGATATTGGAAATTATTCTGACGAAGAGTTACATACGAAACTGTTGACACGCAGTAATTGTATACTACAACCAGTCCATTTAGTTTTGTAGGTGGCGGTGCGGTGGGAGAGACTAGTGGTTAAACGGTGGAGTATAAATGTGTGCAAAATCTGCATATCATTCCCGTATAAAATCCTCACAAATTGTTGAATGTCTACCACAGTTGAATTTATATGGAATTTAATGGAACTCAGTTAACAGCACAGTCCTGTCTTAAGGAGAAGCATGAATTAAACATCATCAATTTACGTACATGAATGAAACATCATGCACCATGTGTATTTTGTAAAATAGCATGCATCGTGCGTGTAAGTGAAACATCATGCATCGTGCGTGTAAGTGAAAAAAACTACATCGTTCGAGATGTACCATGGGATTTCTCGAAGGCAAGCTGGACCCATATAAAGCGAGACGACGGCTAACCGAGACTTCTTCAACCTGACTACAATACAATTACCATGTGATATACCAACGTCCAATCAGAATGAGTGAGTGAGTTGGGTTTTACGCCGCCAGAGTGATTTGGGTTTAAGACACTTTTAGCAATATTCCAGCAATATCACGGCGGGGGACACCAGAAATGGGTTTCACACATGGTACCCCGTGGGATTCGAACCCGGGCGTGACAAGCCAACGCTTTAACCACATAGTTATCCAACAAGAGATCATTCACAGGTATATGTTTTCTGATCCAGTTCCCTCAAGTATAAAGCATGTGCCCCTCTTTCGGCACCGAATTCCGGGCATATGTGACAGATTTTTAAGGGACAGTTATTTTCCTGCTGATTGCACGAGTGCGACCCATTCTGTAGCCCGCCGTGATTGTTAATCCTAAATAGTGGGAATCTAAATGATTTGTGGGGAAATCATTCATCTAATTACTGAATGGTTTGTGACCTATTTCACAACTTGTTTCTGTGAAAATAGAATTCACAACCATCCCAACCATTACCATTCCTAGTGTATCTGTCACACACCACACTTAGTACCAGGTGTATCTGTGACACACCCCACCCAGTACCAAGTGTATCTGTGACACACCCCACCCAGTACCAGGTGTATCTGTGACACACCCCACCCAGTACCAGGTGTATCTGTGACACACCCCACCCAGTACCAGGTGTATCTGTGACACACCCCACCCAGTACCAAGTGTATCTGTGACACACCCCACCCAGTACCAGGTGTATCTGTGACACACCCCACCTAGTACCAGGTGTATCTGTGACACACCCCAACCAGTACTAAGTGTATCTGTGACACACCCCACCCGGTACCAGGTGTATCTGTGATACACCCCACCCAGTACCAGGCGTATCTGTGACACACCACACCCAGTACCAAGTGTATTTATAAAACAGCTCATGTAAGGAATATCTGAGAAATATTCAATACAAAGTGAATCTATGAAACATCCCATCCCGTATTAGGTAATATCTGTGAAACAGCCAATTTCCTACCTGGGCTATCTGGGAACCATCACACATCCTGCGGTGTGTATGGGTGAAACACAGTGTTCCAGGTGAACATAGAATCCTGACAGTGTTGAAAATATGATACATTTACCATCGCTTTTTGATAAAGCAGCCAAAATACCAGCTAGAAATGTGAAGAGCCATTCCATCAAACCGAACACCAACCTTACCATGAATGTTGAACTCCCCCTTTACCAGAATGCCGTAAATCAATGTGGTTTTCTTTTTCAAATTTTCTCTCCCCTCGCGTGCCTTCGCTTCAGTTTATATTTCGGGAGACATTAATTATTTGTTAAGTTGTCTGGGACTTAATTAAATTTTCCCAGCTAATTACGGTTTGGGAACAGTACGCCTATCCCCACTGGCACCAAACTAGTAATGGTTGCCGCAATATCATGAATTAATAAGAATCGAATTCTTGATTGGTGATTTGCAGAAGGCTGTGAGACCCCGGTGACTTGTGCTTGTCCCTATAATGACCCCGCGATATCTAGCAGCTACTTAACAAACAGGCAATGGCAGGATATGTATAACTGTATCATATCCACATACCATAAAGAACTGGGGCGGTGAACTATGGGCGCAGCCGAAAGGTTGAAGCGAGAGGTCCTCACGCCGAAGACCCAAGTTCGATTGCCCATTGTACAATATGTGAATCCCATTTCTGGTGTTCCCAGCCGTGATAACACTGTAAAACTGCTAAAGGTGGTGTAAAACCATACTCACTCTCATATACTTTATCCTAACCCTATTGTAACTCAAAAGCTTGACGGTTATTTGAGGAAATGACGCCACTGGTTCAGACTTGCTTTATTTAGGGATTTAGCATTGCAGAAAGGGCCAGGCAAAAGTGAAAATAACGCGGTTCAGGGACTGCGAGACTGACTAACTGTCGGCCTGAAGCTCCAGATGAAGCCACAAATAGGTATCCCGTGTTTGTTTGTATCCGGCTAATTAACATAGCGCCGGTTGGACGATAAACTAATCGACTTTTGTTTCCTTTTGTTGTTGTTGTTAACAAGAACATTATTGACTGTACATAAAGCGGTTGTGAAATGAAGGCAATACTTTTACAATCTACAATCACTACAATGTTAATGTTCAAGGCTCAATGTGCAGTTACACCCGACGAGCAGCACTGTGCAGCGTGGGAATAGTCTCCAAGAGATGTTTATCCACATTTAGTTTTCGGGTGACAATTAGTTGCCATAGTAATTGATATCCAATACCCGGTTAATGAATGATTGATGCAGGTGCGATCCGATTTCATCGGTAATGTAAAACTACCGACTGAATAGGTTTCATAACTGGCTGTACAATAAGCGTAGCCCGAAGACTTGTTTCGCTCGGTCCAGGGGTACACCAAGGGTATCATCTAAGTCCTGTATTGTTTTCTCTTTTTGCATAAGGAATAATTGACAAATGGGGTGGTACATTCGACAATACATGCACAATGACTCACTGAGAACTTTATACTGTGTATTATTTCTTGGCGTATAAGTATTCGTTTTTTAGTTTTAAATATTTATACGAGATTTTTCTTCAATTCATGTTTAAGAAACATACTAGTTAATTTTGAGTTTAGAATGTTATGGATCTATTTTTTAATACAACCTTCTGTTAAGTGTGAAGTTTAATGTCTATATTGATATTGAGTACAAATGCCGTTTTTGAGTAATTAGAAATCAATGAAATATTATCAAATCAATAAACATGACATACGATATTGACAAACTGTGTGTATAACAACTTCTTTTATTTCGTAAGTCCGACGTTCAATACAGAGTTTTGTATTGTTATCAATCTTGTTTGACAACGTTACAAGAATATGCACTGAAACGTCGATAAAAGAAGTTGTTACCCATAACGTTTGTCAATATTGTACTTCCCAACTTCACAAATACCACTCAAAGACATACGATGTAAATATGTTAAACATATTTTGATATTGATAGGTAATATAATTCCTAGAGCGCGACAAATCCCTCCTGTACACAGGCTACAACAAAGAATAACAGCCAATGAGTTTAAGCATTTTTGTGGTATATAAAGTTAAGCCAGAACATCAATTTGGTTTGTGTTGTGTAGATACTGCCGAAATAAGCTACTTCATCTTAATGGAAGAACATACCAGTTACTTTGGATGGCTAAAATTATCGATAATAGGAAAGTATATTAATGATTATCGATATGAAAATAGTGACATACAAATATCGTACATACATTTTTGTGACAGAATAAAGTTTTGATTTACTCACACAATACACAAAGTTAGGTTTTTATTCATGGGCTATTTCTAAATCATGTTCAGGACCATTTTTTTGTTAGTAACCCGTAAACATGTCACCTCTCACCAATGGTGTGAACAATATTCATTTTTGTCAGACATTTTTGGCAAAGGCTGATACACACAGACATATATATTACACCCATAGCTGTATCAAAGTATTCTGTGTTACGCAACAAATGGCTATTGGTATTGAAGCGTATTATTAGGCAAACAATGATTGAATATGGCTGACAAAGTTGTTGAGGACGGAACGTAATGAAACAATACGAAACAAAGCCTAAACAAGCGCACTTACCTCTTGCCCGGTGTAGTTCTACCTGTGAAAGTGACGCACTGAGAAATTCCAATACAATACAATTGTTCCAACTTGTACTACCTGTAGTGACGAGAGCTGCAGCTCAGACGTTAAACCGGATACATATACTGGGGGAAGTGGCTTAACGTTAGTGCTGTTCAGGTTACG